CGCGTGGGATTCCTCGCGATCCGTTGTGGCGACATGGACGGCCTCGAGAACTTCCCCGCTTCGGGCGACCTTTCTTCTTTTCTTAGGGAGGTGGGGGGTCGAGGCCTGGGGGCCTCTTCCTCCGCTTCCCTTGGAATCGGTGTTGGGGAAGATGGCTCCGACAGCTTCTTCCCCTGAGGCGAAGCTGGTGGCGATGTCGAGGAGCGCGGCAGCAGAGCGCGGGACGTTGCGTCCTAACTCTCGGACCAAGTCCCGACAAGTGGTGCCGGAGAAGAAAGCCTGGGCGATCTCCGAGTCAGTCGCCGACTGGGTAGCTCGGTGCCTTTGTTTGGAGAAGCGCCGGATGAAGTCTCGGAGAGACTTCGTCTAGCTTCTGGCGGCAGCTTTAAGATCCCAGAATTCCAGGCGCACGTATGTGCCCCGGAAGTTCAACGAAGATTCTAACCAAGTCGCGCCAGTCGTGGATTTGCGAGGGAGGGAGATGCTCCAGCCAGGCTCACGCCGAGTCCGACAAGAGCAAAGGGAGATTGCGGATGATGAGCAGGTCATCGTCCGCGCCACCTAGCTGGCGAGCAAAGTGATGTCAGCAGCCGAGTTCGGGTTGGTCTCGCCACAGTGCCAGCGAGGTTGGCGCAGTTGCCGGAGGAGGCGGGGGAAAGGAGCAACGCGGATGGGCCTGCTTGAAGACCCGAGGTCTGGCGACTCGTGGGAAGGATCTGCGGTCCTCACCATTGTCGAAGCGACCGCCTCGGTGTGGGTGGTAGCCTCGGGCGCTCCATTGCCGTCGTGGCGCCGTCGCGCCGCCAACTACTTCGTGGTCGCCACATGCCTCGTGTTGGTCCTCTGAGTCGGTTATGCGCACCGAGAGGGCCTCATTGACCGTCGGCGCGAAGCGGGTTTCAGGGACGGGCCGAGGCACCCGGCCTTGGCGAGGTCGTGCAGTGGGTTGCTCGAATCGCCTCCGCGCGGCGGAGGCGGAACTTTGGGCTTGCCTGCTCGCTGCGGTCTCGAGGAGGTCGCGGAGCTCTCCGCGGACCCGTCGCCCTCGGTGGTGGAGGGCTCGGGCATTGCTCGGACTAGCATCGCAGCCGCTGCGACATTCGCTAAGCGCGGTTAAAGATTGGGGCGGCTCATCCCCTCGTTGTCGTTGATGCGGTGGTGGACGTCGCGGGCCCTCCCTCGGGCCCCTCCGCCTCATCAGCGCCCTTCTTTGCTCCCGCTCGAGAGTGTCGAAGCCAGTTGCAGAAGAGTCGGTCTTGTTCGACCTTGGCTTGAAGCTCGTGGAGCTGCTCCGGTCTGGCGTCGATGCCCCCATGGGCGGGATTCTCGCCGTCGGTCCGGGGCCTCGAGGACGCGGTGGTGTGGCGGAGCGTCGCCACCGCCGGGCGGGAATGGTGCCTGTCCTCTCGTTTCCTTCGCCGCCCTTGGCATCCCGAGCCCGGACGTGGGAAGCACTCACGAGATGGATCGTAAGTCCCTTCATCGTCGAAGTCAGAGTAGCCGAGGCGAGAGTCGCATGGCCAAGAATTGGCGCAAATCCCGTGGTTGTGAAGTTCGGAGAAATCCACCCAGGCCATGCCTCGTCCTCGCTCGAGGAGTCGGAGCGGTGCTCAAGTCGAGAGCGAAGCGCTGGCGGCGTTCCGAGGGGTGCTCGTGAGTGGCAGCGTAAGCGTAGGCGTAAGAGGCGGCGGCATTTCTCAACCCAAAGGGGTATGGGGACGGGCCGTCTCCATATTACGCCCACCGGGTCGGCTCTTCGAGGAGTGGCGGAGCGGGGTTAGACGGCCCGGGCATCGCCGTAAGCCACCGGCGATTTTCCTTCTCGCCCGAGCTCGGGTCGACGGGTCCCCGGCCAGGACCCGTATCAACAGTGGTCGTAGGACATCGGCGGGAGGCGTGTCGCCGCCTGGCTCGCGAAGCGTCGGGTGGCCTTGCTCGCGTCGTGCTGGCGGCGTGGCGAGAGCGACGCCCGGCGCCGCCGCGCGCTACTGGCTGCCGGGCGCGACTTCGTCGTCAGACGGTGGGGTTCGAGGAGTGAGGAGCACCATGTCGTACTCATGCCCTAGAGACATGAACTCTAGGCTCCCCAACCAAACTATGGTGCCGAGACGCAATGGTCGTATGTAGTACGCCATCCGGAACTTGCTAGGATGATGAAAGGCGACACGCAGCGCCCCTACCGGGGCATGGCTAACCGTCGGTGTTTTGGAACCGGGGTCCCTCAACCAACGAGTGAATTTGTCTTTGCGTGCCCCTAATCCCGGATGGTGGCGCAAAGAGACACAAGGTTTATCTTTGGTTCGAGCAATCGAGGCCCTACGTCCGGTCCGAGAGATCGATCTTGTATTCCTTGCACCGAGTGCTCGTAGTAGGGGTTACAAGCTAGGTGAGAGAGGAACTAGCCCTGTGTCTCGGGCGAGTGTGGTGCGGGCTGCTTGAGGCGTTGTTCCCAAGCGGCGAGGAGTGCGTGGTTCTATCGGCGTGTTCGTCTTTTCTGGCCTCCCCAGAAATGGCCCCGATCCCTCCCTTTTATACTCTAAGGAGGACCGGGACCGTGCTGTGCAGTGCTACATAGCGCTTCAGTAAATGGGGTGGCGTGTCCGAGCCTCGTAGTCGGCCCTTTGTTGTGGTATGGTCGATGGAGTGGCCCCGCCCTTGTCATGCGGAAGTGACATCTTTGGTCATACTCGGTCTTGTGCGTCGTGGGGGCCCGAGACGGCTTGATGCGGGACATGGCGGGCGACGTGCTTTGGTCGCCGTGTAATGACGTCGTGAGGGGAGCGGTGGCTCTGCAGATGCCGAGGCCGAGCCATCGTGGGGGCTCGGTGGTCATGGACCCTCAGTGCCGAGCCCGTGAAGCAAACTGTCGAGGCCTTGGGGGAGTTATTGGCCACAGGTGCGATTCCGAGGCCACATGAGCCAGACGTGGCTCCCCATGCTGCGTTGTCCTTGGAGCAGAGTTGGCAAAGCCAGTGAGGCATGGGTGTCAACCATGTGCACGGTGGATAGCATAGTGACGGGTAACCCCCGCCCGGTCAGGGGACGTGCAGTCATCGCGTGATGACGTCGTGAGGGGCCGTGGCTCTGAGGTGCGAGGCCAAGCCATCATGAGGGGCTTTGGCGGACATGGGTCCTCGGGCCGTCGAGCCCACGGAGCAAGCCTGCCGAGGCCTTGAGGGAATTATTGCTCCTGGGTGCGATTCCGAGGCCACGAGAGCCGGATGTGGCTCCCCACGCCGCATTGTCCTCGGTGTAGGAGTTGGCGAAGATAGTGAGGCATGGGCGTCAACCCATGTGCACGGTGGATAGCATAGTGACGGGTAACCCCGCCCTTGATCCGGGGACGGCAGTCATCGCGTGATGACGTCGTAGAAATTTACGTGTGGCTCTGAGGTGCCGAGGCCAAGCCATCATGGGGGCTTTTGGCGGACATGGGTCCTCGGGGCCGTCGAGCCCCGGAGCAAGCCGCCGAGGCCTTGGAGGGAATTATTGCTCCTAGGTAATCGATTCCGAGGCCACAAGAGCCCAGATGTGGCTCCCCACGCTGCATTGTCCTCGGTGGGAGTTGGCAAGATAGTGAGGCATGGGCGTCAACCCATGTGCGCGGTGGATAGCATAGTGACGGGTAACCCCGCCCGCCCGGGGACGTCAGGTCATCGCGTGATGACGTCGTGGGGGCGTGTGGCTCTGAGGTGCCGAGGCCAAGCCATCGCGGGGCTTTTGGCGGACATGGGTCCTCGGTTTGTCGAGCCCACAGGAGCAAGCTGCCGAGGCCTTGGAGGGAATTATTCTCTGGTGCGATCCGAGGCCACAAGATAGCCAGATGTGGCTCCCCACGCCGCATTGTCCTCGGTGCGCGGAGTTGGCAGCATAGTGAGGCATGGGCGCCAACCCATGTGCACGGTGGTTAGTCTGATGGCGGGTAACCCCGCCTTGAGCCCGCCTCTGTCCCATCGGCCATTCTCATTGCATCTTGGCCGGCATGCGGTCTGTTGTCGTGTCGAAGCTGATTGGCTGAGTTGATGCGACACGACGTTTTGCGGAAGGGGCGGGAGAAGGAAGAGGTAGCGAGTGTCGCCGAGCCCGCCTTCTTGCGCGAGACGGAGGGTCGGTGGCCTCGGCCGAGGCCTTTGGCGGGGAATCGACCGAGGCCCGCGGTGAGGGGGCCTCGGGCGAATCGGAGAATCGGCTGAGGTCCGCGGTGATGAGGCCTCGGGCGAGTCGGAGAATCGGCCGAGGCCCGCGGTGATGGGGCCTCGGGCGAGTCGGAGAATCGGCCGAGGCCAGCAGCGTTTAGCTGGTTTCGATCTTTACGAAATCTAAGCAGTCGTTTTTTGGATCTTGCTTAGGGTACCCCTTCTCATGGTATCCGACCCTTGGCCTATACAAATTGTATAAGCGTTCTGACTAGGAACGGTTCCAGAAAGTCATTCCCTACCTATCAAACGTGGCCTTAGGGCACGTTCGGTTAGCCGTGAATCCTGCCCTGGATTCGTTCCTGCCTGGAATGCTTGTCAAATTTATATAAGTTTTGAGCGGTTGGAATAATTCCTGGTGCATTCCTGATCAACCGAACGGGCCCTTAGTCTTTTTCTTCTCCTACAACCGATTTGTTTTGGGTTTCAAAAACTAGGCTATGATACATGTACGCACCTTGACAGCTTGCAGCCTTGCACGTGAGAATATGTGTAGCAAAGATTGATGTGGGCCGTAGCATGGGCCGACCGTGGACTGAGCATGGGTGGCGTGGTTGCGTGTCAGAGAATTTTTGTTTTGACGCTCAGGCCCAGAGTGGATAACGTAACCCAACTAACTTCGGTCCGGTCCCAACATGCACGGCCCCCATGCCGCACGAGTGTCAGGCTCTGAACTGGAACCACGGTACACTTGTCAGTGTTCATAAGCCACGTGCGGCAACACGTGACGGCAGGCGCAGCCACCGTGTGCTGGACTGCTGGTATATAGCGGTGGCTGGGGAGGAGAGAGGCCACAGGCCAGCCATGGACGGCGACGCGGGCAAGACGAGGACGATGAAGACGGTGTGCGTGACGGGCGCCGGGGGCTTCGTCGCCTCGTGGCTCGTGCAGCTCCTCCTCTCCCGAGGCGACTACCTCGTGCACGGCACTGTTCGCGACCCGAGTAAGCTCCTGCTCTACCGATCTGGTCCCCTTGATCGATTCAGGGCGCCGCGCGCAATCTCTGCCGACCGATCGATCTCGGTTTTTCTGCAGTGATTGATCGGATCAAACCAAACAATTTGCGACACAGGTGATCCCAAGAACGCGCACCTGATGGCGCTGGACGGCGCCGGGGAGCGCCTGCGGCTGTTCAAGGCCGATTAGCTGGACCGTGCCAGCGTCGACGCGGCCATTGCTGGCTGCGACGGCGTCTTCCACGTCGCCAGCCCCGTCCCGGCCGTCGAGCCCACGAACCCCGATGTAACATCGCTTCAAATCTTCATATCAAAAGAAGAATAGTCGCAGATTCTTTCATCTGCTCCGGCCTGATCCATGCATATATGTGACTTGCGTGAAGGTGGAGGTCCTGGCTCCGGCGGTGACCGGCACGCAGAACGTGCTCGAGGCTAGCCACGCGACCAACGTCCGCCGCGTCGTGGTGGTGTCGTCGGTCGCCGCGGTGATCGCGAACCCCAACATCCCCGATGGCGCCGTCGTCGACGAAGACTGCTGGTCGGACGAGGACTACTGCAGAGCCACTAAGGTGGAGCACGTGCTAGCTGCATCACCTATGGCACTCTATCCAATAATTTTTAGCAGCCATATGACAAATCGCTGGGCTCTCCTGCTTATGTTGAGCCATGCATGACAGCATGAGTCTCTTAATCTTTGACTCGCCTCTCTGACTAACTGAGAGTTCGTCACCATGCCTATCAGAACTGGTACTGCGTTTCCAAGACGGTGGCCGAACGCGAGGCGCTGGCATACGGCGAGAGGACCGGGATGGACGTGGTCACCGCCTGTCCCCCGTGGGTTCTGGGTCCGCTGCTGCAGCCGACGGTGAACGCCACCAGCATGCGTTTCGTGGCATACCTGAAAGGTCAGTTCCTCGATCTACCTTTGTCTGCATATTGCTGAACATCTACATATATTCCAGGCCGGTAGAACACATTGGTCACTAGTTACTGCGCAGGAGAAAACACCGATGAGAAGAGGAGGAACATGGTGGACGTGCGCGACGTCGCAGACGCTCTCGTCCTGACGTACGAGACACCGGAGGCATCTGGCCGGCGATACATCTGTAGCGCGCACGCCATGAAGGTGTCTGAAACGGTCGGCCTCGTCAACAGTCTGCACCCAGACCTGAAGCTGCACTACCCCAGGAAGTGAGAACGAAACCTGATGGCTCACATCAAGTTAAAATCCCTCTGTAACTCACGATTTGCCGACGACCATTTGCAGGTTTGTTCAGATGGAATACGACAAGGGAGTCAGCTCCAAGAGGCTGCTGGCGCTGGGGTGGAAGTTCAGGGCGGTGGAAGAAACTCTGAGGGACACCATCGACTCGTACAAGGCTGCTGGAATCCTGAACTGATGAGCGATGGCGTCATGGAGATTGGACTCAACTGTAACAAATTAAACTGACGGGGAAATAAAGTGGTGACGATGCAAGGCAATAATAATAATTAAGGCATGCTTGTTTCCTTTTGCAGCCTCGCCTCGCCTCACTAGACTTGCCTCGCCAAGCGGAGAGCCATTTTGGCTCTCCCTTGCTAGAAAGAAAATCATTGCTCGTACGGGTCGCGAGATACCCTGGCAGGAAATCCAAATAAGCAACTTCTCTCTATATCCTTGCTTGGCAAGGTTCCATAGTACCAAGTGATGGATCTAAACAGGTCCTAAGCTGTTAGAATCAGAGTGTTTTTTTTATAAAAAAATAAAGAAATAATCTCACAGACACCACCACCGCTAAAAAACACATTGGTGGTTAGTGAAGAGTCGTTTGTACAAATCAGCTACAAAGATGTACATAAATAATGATTTTAGCGCCTAGGCCAAGCCCCAATGTCATAAGTTGTGGGACTTTTTAAGTAGTAACCATAACTTCCCCCTTTGCATCACCTTCTTTACCATCTCACCAAAAATATAATTGCTAATGACAAAGATAACCTTTCCATTTGAATCTTGTTGAAAACGATTTTCACATGTGGTTCAAATGAGAAATTAAACCACCTGTGCAGTGGTGGAGGGTGGAGATGGGAGTGTCATCGTTCGCTCCCCTGACCAAGCTTCTTTTCCATGTCATCGTGCTATCGTACATGTGGGCTCCGGATCTGGACTAGCGCGACGGAGACAGGAGCACCATGCCAGCCGAATTCGTGCCCATGGGGCAGCCGCAACGGACGGGGACGTCGCGCAAGGCTTCTTTGGAGGTGTGATGCGAGGTTTTTAGCCTCATACCGCTCATCCACCTGGCACAGCACCTCGTCGGCGGCGGTGCTTAGACCTCTAGGTCAACGACAAAGAGGCAGAGCACGGGGTGAAGCATGCATGGTCATCTCTAGGGGGCGTGAAGTGGAGGGACGCCACCGCCTTGTAGAGGAGTAATACACGGAGGGGTCACCTAATGTGGCAAGCCATAGGAGTCGTTGACGCGCACAATGCTCCCGTCGTCACTTTCACCTTCGCGGAGACAAAGGGGATCTAACAAGGGAGAGAAAGGAGAAGAAGAGAGAGAGAGAGAGAGAGAGAGAGAGAGAGAGTGGAGGGGAGCTTGTGATAAGGCCCGCTTCAAGAGGTTTCCCTCTGTGCTATGCAATTGGATCAGCCGTGGACAGTGAGATGGGGGTGTGTCTGTGCTCAAAGACAAAATAATGAATGCCCTAAATGAAGTGATTGCTTGCTAATCCATTTTGCTAACTACTAACTAATTTTCTGACTACTGATTTGTTTTAACTATGATTTTAATCAAACCAATTTTACACCTTATTCTTGAATTTGTATGCTATGTCTGACATGTATGATAAATTTGTTAAAACACATTTTTATGTACACCCTATTCAATAGCTGATTCAAAATTTTAAGAAAGATGATTAGAAAAATTTCAAAATTTAAGTCAACATCTTTATGCACTAATTGTTCAATAATGTGTTATGAATTTTAGAATTTGAATGGTATATTTAAAAAAATTTGAATATTATGTTCAGAAAATTTGTTAATAAAAACATAAAAAATGGATTGGATTAGTTCTAAATGAAACAATGGTCCAAAAGAATTTTGGAATAAATTTATGGTCTAAAATAAAATTAAAACATCCACTCGTGGTCCCTTTCAAACCAAATCAGGTTACGATGAAGGCAAAATATTTTGAAGTTCAGATTGTTTTGTACTTTCTTGAGATCATGGACAATTTTGTTCAGAATTTTCATGATTTGTACATAATAAAATTCCAAGATATTTGTTGCCTGTTGACAATGATGTGCCTGCAGATTTGCATGTATGCAGTGGCAGATCGTGCCCTTAAATTAGAGAGAGGGGGGCGTGGCGGCAATGTTTTCTTTAGTTTGAGCCACCTGAGACAGAGCCCACCAAGACATACACCTTCATCAGGATGCTTCGACTGAAATAGACCTGTTTATCTTCTCCAACGCCCTTTCCATCTTCTCGATGACAACCGCCATGGGATGCAGTTTTTGAGGTTAGTGGACCTGCGCGCGCGGAGCAAGGGGTGCAAGAGCCCAGTTTCGCCTCCACGAGGCTCCACCCCTGCATGTATATAACTTTAGGAAATTTTCTATGCAAATTATGTGCAAATCTAATTCAGGTTTATAAATTATGTAAATAAGATCAAAGAGTAATGAACATTATTTTGTACAACGATCCGAGAAAAGTTGCCAAATAAGCAATAAGATTATTTTTAAATATGCTCAGGAACTAGCAGTTTTATACCGTTTGGATTTTTGTCAAAACAATATAGACCGGAAGAGATGTTGCATGTGCAACACCTTATTACTACTGTATATCTTTTCTATACTGAAAAAATATCTGTTCAATTATGTTTACGTGATAAACTAATAACCTAATCTAGAGAATAGTTTTTTGGAGAAATAATCTAAAGAATAGTTGAGATGTGAAGAAAACTTTGCCAAAAAAAAAGGAAAGTAGCAGGACAACTTTGTCATAAAAGGGATGCGCAGTCGGCTGAAACTGCACCCGGGAGCTGTAGTAAAGTTGTTTGAATTTTGAGCTAAATAGTAAACACTGTACGTTTTTAGCAAATAACCACTCATCCAAAATTCCAGACATCCTTTAGCTGCTTACATGGTTAAGCATCGTGAAAACTGTCAGAAGCAGTGGTGTAAGATGGATGAACAAGTATCTTGGTGTCACTGTCCTTGTCCCATTGCTGTATGTCTGTGCTGCACACTGCTGCGCCCGTGCTGTTCTTGTGATGCTGTCGGCCTCGGTGACAAGGCCGAGAACTGGGAAGTCCACCTTGTTGGCCGACCCGCTGCCGCTGGACAGCCCGGAGAAGTTGGAGGTGGACCCACCCGACGCCGACGCCGAGCACCACGCCGAGTACTCCAGGTCCCCTATCCCATCCTGGGAAACCACATACAAACACAATGCACTCTCACAGTCTGTTCGTTTCGGCTTATACGATCGTGGATTATAAGCTGGAATAATATTTTTCTCTCACACCAAACCAGCCAACAATATTTTTGACTTATAATCCACAATCGTTTCAGCCGAAATGAACAGGCTGTCAATTACAAATGCAGATCCAGAGAGGGGCAAACACACATGTTTGTGAGGTTAAGTGAGGTACTTCGGCGGTGGCCAAGCACACCGAAACCAGATTCTATGCAACTGGTGCGCACGGAGTATTCTACAGTAAAATTTTGTTGGTACAGCTGCAGAGCAAAGAAACGGCACTCCATCACCCAAAAGATGGCTGGAACCAACGATCGTGCCAAGCATTTGAAACGAAATGCTCCAATGATCATGATGGTCTTGCACTCTTGCTGTCGTACCAAAGCCACTAGCTGCTGAGTACGGTGGAAGTAGGTGGCCACACGCCCACACCACACCCAGCCTCAGGCCACAGCGCGAGCGATCAGAAACAGCAGGAAACCCAACCAAATCGAATCGAATCAGAACGAACCGGATCGATCGTGTACCTGCCGTTGGTGCTCGTCGTCCTCGGATTGGCATGGGGTTACAGGCGCCGCCGGATCGTCGTCGTCGTGCGAGGGGTGGTCAGGCTGGACGACGACGCTGTAGAGGTCGACGATGCGGTCGCAGTTGTCCGCCCACCAGGTCTGCGCCGCCCACGCGTGGCCGCCGAAGTACTCCTCGCTGAATCGGATCCTGCGGAGGTAGTTGGTGCCGTCACTCATCAGCACACCGGGCTCCGGCTCCGCCGCCCACTCCCCGTCACTCGCCGCGTCCGCCGTACCCGCGGCGGCCTCCTCATCGGCGTCGCCGTCGTCGTGTTATTTGCGGGCGAGCAGGAGCAGCACTTGTCGCAGTGCTCATGTTTGGCTCCTCCTTGCCCCTGCTCCCCGTCCAGGTGGAGACGATCTTTCGGATGATCACCGTAGGCGGCTGCGCCGGCGCGATCTTGGCGGACGAGGACGCGGACGATGATGCCGCCGCGACTTCCTTGTCCTGCAGCTCCTCCCCCTCGGGGGAGCGCCTCCGATGCCGTCGCCGCCGCGGCGCGCACGGGTGGCCGTCGCCGTCGCCCGCCGCCTTCACTTTTAGGAGGGACAAGGCCTTCATCGGCGCAAGCGACGGACACGACATTGCATCAAGCAGAAGCAGGGGAGCGATTGGGATGTCGGGCGGCGTACGCTCTTGGCGATGAAGCCGACGGACTTGGTGATCCCGCTGTTGCTGCCGCCGCTGCCACGGAAGCACGCGTGCATCGGGAAGAGCAGGGCCGCCAGTGATGTCTCTCCCTCTCTCTCCACTCTCCACCGCGCCTCGCTGTCGTTTCCGGAGTAGCTGCTCCGATCTCGTGCTGGTTTGGAAGGAAGAGAAGAAAATGGAGGGGGATGGAATTTGAAAGAGGCGAAGGGCGGCACGGAATTAACGGGCAAGCGTGTCCGTCGCGCAATCAATGCCTGCGGGATTGGCGTATTTATGGCAAGCGTCTGGGATTTCCTCTTCCAACTCACACCCAGCCGGCGGCCACCGAGCAGGCGAGGACGGACGTGTGTAACCATGGCAGAGAGCTGCCTTTGCTCTGGCGCACGTACGCACCGCACCATGTATATAGCAGAAACAGATGACTAAAACAAAAGGATGTCTATTACTATCACAATTTTCGTATAATAATAAAGGTCTATATAGCCAACATGTCTAAAATGAACATATTACCTTTGTTAAGACTTAAGACATGAATTCATTTCATAACAACAATACAGTTGGCTCGACTAGATTTAGACATGAATTGCCATAGTAATAAATAAACATGAAGAATTGAATTACAGTCTTAGCAAGCAACGTCATCAAAAGGTGGCAGTACCTTGACAAGCCTACCTGATGTTGATGGATATGCAGAAAAAAGAACCACTGTCGCTCTCAGCCGAGTCAAAACAAAGACAAGTATTTTGTTGTCAGTAAGTTGACTGAGCAGATCAAGAGAATTCTATGATAGGATCAACAGTTTGCCATTTCTTTGAATTTCCCATATTCATATTTTTTTTCCTTTGTTAGCGTCATCTTGAATTTCCAAAGGAGCACGGAAAATGTTATCCGACTCAGAAAGGACAATTGTTATTATTTGATAAAACATCCTGGCATTTTGAAATCTCTGCATCAAGGGGCTATCAGAGTGAACACCGTATCGACAAGCATCCCGAAAAGCATTTAGTAGATTACGCAAGGCAGGTGATTTAGGTTCCTTTGATACTAACTGGCACCATTCACTTATAGTCTTGCTTGTAAGGACCTTAGCATCTGGGGAATTTCCATCATTGGAGTCATCATCATCATCCATAGAATCCATTCCATCTTCATCAGGGTCCTATTGGAAATTTAAAAGCAGTCAAAACAAAACAAAATTAAACTAGTGAGATCAGATTTGTTTAGGAACAACAATGTAAACAGAACATGCAAAAAGTATATCTGCATTTTGTAGAAGTCAAAGGAACAGCTACCAATGCTTACTCCTTCTGTAGCTCTCCAACTCCGACCGCCATTTTTCGAGGAAATTTGCAAATTCAGGGTCCTACAAACAAGACAAATACTTAAATCCATATTGAAATCACTATAAGCAATGTATATCACGATCCTAGAATTCCACTTAACATTGTACTGACAGTGCATAGCAAACACTATGTATCTAGAAAACCCAAAACGTCTTATAATTTGCAATACAGGGAGTAACAATTTAGATGTTCATGATTTGTCCAGGCTTCTCTGCCTTTAGCTGTCTGGAACCAACCTAGTTTGTTATAATCAGGAGAATGATTTGCACTAATTCAGCCGCCATATTCCTTCCTCTATTTAACATTTCAAATAACTAAGCTCAAATGCTTTTCCTGTAGGGTCACCAACGATGATGATCCTACTTTGATCCATGGCTTTGAGTTTACAGAGGATGATGCTGAACTAGATGCTGATCTATCTGACAGTGATGGATATCTTTCTGAAGTATGTTTGTTTGTCCTGTTCACATGCTTACCAAGCTTACGAATAATGATGCCCCCTGCCACTTTTAGATCCCCACACTGCAACAGCATCTGTTGTTCCATTGCTGGAAGGTTCTGCATGGAAGAGTTTATGCATGTATCAGTAAATCACAGCTGGGTCACTCCTTGCTTTTATAACCGACTGCTTGATTTGGATATGCAGGATCCTGGGTGTCCATACTATTCTGACAGTGAGGACGAGAAAGCTGCCAAAGGTTAGTTTGTGTTGTTGTAACACTAATTTAGCTTGGCCTGTGCTTGAGCACTAGTTTCTGATATATCGCAATGTTTTGTGTAGATTGTATCATGGAAGATGATTTGGACAGACAGAACGATGACATGAATTGGGATATCAAAAACCAAAAGAAAAAGTTGAAGAAGTTGCTGGATAAGGTTGAACTTCCATTCACCAAAAGAGCTGGGCATGCTAATTTAAATTATATCAACGTTCTTCTTACAATTGCAGGCTGTATGCTTCAGGATATCTTGCTTCGTTGCAGCTCAATAGTTTCTTTTTGACACCATAGAAAACAATTTAGAACTACTTTTTAGCGGGTCTTATGTTTGTATGTCATTTTCTTTACATACAGGTTTTCAGGATACAGAAATCTATCATATAAATGATATGGGGACTGGAAGAAAATGCGTGCACAGAAAAATGTTGGCAAAATTTCTGTAGGCTATAGCTAATAGAGTTATTTGTACCATAGTATGTAACTGTATATACTTTATGCTCAATTGATTGGGTAAGCTAATTTTTATATTAGGACAGTTCTGCTCTGAACTTATGGACCTGTTCATTTAGTAAACTAGTAATTGAAGTGTATTCAGTGCATCTATTCTTAGAAACAGTTTGTGGTTGTAGTTATATAGAAATTATGCACTAATTCCAATGAGTTTTTTATGTTACAACTTATTTAAGACGCTTTAAATTACCTGATACTGTCAAATAAGAAACAACTATGAAATTGCAGAGGGAACAGGGGGAGTTCTAACCACATTTTCGAAAGAACAGCAGAGATACGCCATAAACACAGTTTCACTCTATCAATACAGCATACGAAAGGTGGATGCTATTAGAGGAGAAAACTAATCAGGGAGCGTGTAGTTAACATAGTTTGTGTAAGGTAAAAACATTGCAAACCTCTTACACTGCTAACAAGGACTGCACAGAAGCTTATTTTACCTGTTGATAAAGTTGACGCTGAAGACATTTCTCCAGGGAATTACATCATTCAAAGCACAGTATGGCCAAAAAATTAGAGCCCACGATAGAGTGGTCACTCCAACAAATTGACATCTCACACAAAGTCATTGTTCGGCTGCCGCTGAACAGCGGCTGTTGCTGCTGCACTACAGTCCCGCTGAGACGCTCCCAGCAGCAGCAGCAGCAGCAGCAGCAGTTCTATAGCACAGCCGAACAGCGAAGCAAAAGATGATCAGCAGTTGAAAACTGATTTTATTTTTTGGTCAACACTCAACTGTTGACTTCATTGAGGAAACGATACTTTTCAGGCAGAGACTTTGCATGGTGCTGATATTCACCCCTCGAGAAAAGTGATATAAGCATGGAAGTAGTGGAAGCCTCAAGTGAGAAATTCTTCTCATCAAGTTTGGAGAGGTAAGCCCCAGCCCTGCTTATGTCACCTCTATGCAACAACCTCCTAACTAGAGCATTTAACATACATGAGTTTGGAGCAATACCATTCTTTTCCATTGCTGAAAACAGACCATCAAACTCCTCAAGTGACCCTTCTTCTATGAGATTTTCTGCTATTAAGCGGTAGGTCTCAACATTCGGAACCAAACCATAAGCAGAGATAGTAGCAAACAAATCCATAGCATCTTCCCTTCTGCCACCTTTGAGCAAAGCACCAATCATAATGGTGAATGTAACAATGTTAAGTTGAAGATCCTTAGAACACATGCTCTGAAATATTTTGAATGCTTCATCAACACAATTATTTTTGCAAAGACCATTTAGAATTATGTTGTATGTGTAGATATCCCACTGTGTTCTGCTGTTGATCATATTGAGATAGAATTCCTTCGCTTCAGAAAATCTCCCGGTCTGAAACAAACCATGCAATATAGTACTATAAGTCACAACTCCAGGTGTAAGTCCCTTCATTAACATTTCTCGGAAAAGGCTATATGCATCACCTATCCTTCGAGCTTTGCAGTAGCCATGAAGCAAAGTATTATAAGTAACTTCATCAGGTTTCAGGCCAATTGAGACCATTACATCAAGTAACTTCGCCGCTTCATCGATTCTACCAGTTAAGCAGTGGCCATCAACTAATGTATTATATGAGATAACATTAGGCCTTACAGCCACACGTACCATCAAGTCAATGAGCCTTTGGGCTTCCATGACCCGCCCTTCCTTGCATAAGTTACACATTAATGTGTTGAAGAACACTGCGTCAAGACGGATTCCTTGATCCAACATTTCAAAAAATAATTCCTCGGCCTTCTCCCATTTGTCAACGGCGCAGAGTCCATAAACAAGGGAGTTAAAAACACCAATGTTAGGAGTCACTCCTTCATTGATCATCTGATTGAATTGGAGCACAGCATCGTCCACCTTGCCTAACTTGCATAGTGCATCTATTAGTGCTCCATAGCTGACGACATTAGGACTCAACCCTTGCTGCCTCATTTTGTCAAATATATGCATTGCCTCATCTATCATTGCCTTCTTAGCATATGCACAGAACATTATGTTAAAGATGTGATGATTAGGTGAGATACCATTTCCTACCATCAAATCTAGGAAACTATGCATTTCAAAAAGAGCACCTTTGGTAGCATATCCATGAAGCAAAATGCCATAGATAGTTACATCAGATTTTATGCCCTTCCTAATCATAGAATCAAAAAAAATTCTAGCTTCTCCGTATCTTCCATTTTTGCATAGGTAGTCCAGCAGCAACGCATAAGTAAAACAATCTGGCTTTAGATCATGTGTGGACATTTCTTCAAGCATACGGATCACTTCCTTCCACTGTCCAGTAGAGAGGTATCCATGGATCAGAGAAGTATATGTTTCATTATTTGGCTTAACACCTTTATTAATCATCTGCTGAAATACACCCTTGGCCCTGTCAACCAATTGAGCTTTGCACAGGACGTCAATTACTGTGGCATATGTCACAAATCTGGTGCAATCCCCTGATCCATCATTTGAAGAAACAGGTTGTAAGCTTTGTCCACTTTACCCTCAGTAAAGAAACCGTTGATGACGGTGTTGTAGGGCACCACATCCGTGGGCAGCTCCTACCTTGATCATCAGCCATCATGTGCAGAAGCTCAAGTGCCTCCTCAGCTCTCTTTACATTGCAGAAACCTTTGAGAAGTATGTTGTATGAAACTACATCCGGCGTGCAGCCAAGCTAAGGCATTCGTTGGAGCAAAACACCCATGGCCTCACCCACCCTCTTTGCGTCACATAGACCTTTTAGCAGTTGACTGATGACTACTACGTCGTTCACCCTCCAGCCCGTCTTAAGGATGAGGCCAAAGGTGGCGAAGCCATGCTCCAGGCGGCCCATGCGGCAGAAGCAGCCGATGAGTACGCTGTAGGAGCAAGCGTCTGGAGCCACCTTGATGGAGCAGTCACGTATCATCCGATTGAAGAGCGAGACGACGAGCTGGGATGAGGCTGGAGAGCATCGGGCGCGCGAAACAACGGTTAGCAGGTGGTTGAAAGCACGAACCGAGGCAGGCCCGGCGCAGTGGAGCAATTCGTCGAACAGCTTGAGCGCGTCGTCGAGGCCGAGGCTTCCCTAGCGGGCGCGGCCGGCGATGACGCGCTCCAGCTCCAAGCACCGGTCGGCGGCGGCGGCGCTCACGCGGCGCGACATGCCAACGGGGCTCGCGCGCGCGCGCTACTGGCACTGGCACGGACGGCTCCGCGCCACGCCAGCCTCCGGGTCGGCGAAGCAGAGCAGCTCGCGTGCGCTGGGTGGGCGGAGCAGCCCGTGCCGCGCCGTGGAGTGCGTGACGGTGTGCACTGGAGGGAGTGGTGGGCGGCGCGCTGGGTTCGCGCGTGTCGGCTGGGGTGCGGGCAGGGCGCCAGTCGTGGCGACGGCCGCTTTCCTGTCTCGGACTGTTTTTTTTCCAGCATCTGGGTAATTAGTTAATTTACTCAGGCAGTTCCTTGTACAAAATCTAGAATTTGTTGTGGTCTAAACTGCAGTAGCAAACGGCAGTACAACATTGAAAAGATGTAAATAAATACAGAAAAGCAAAGAGAATTTTTGCATCAAACCGGAACAGGATTAGCAATGAATCGAGAAGCTGGTGTTGTTTTAAGTTTTCTGAGATAAGTGGTACTCCTACATGATAAGAGTCGATTTGCCGTCCAGAAATATCCACCCAAATTACAAAATGACCATGAGAAAGAACCGTTTCTACACATACTGAAGGGCACTAGTTGCTCATATAAACTTCAATCTTGTGCTGCCATATATATTCTAATCGAGATGAAGTGGACACCCCTTTTTGTTGCTATTGTCAGTTGCACTCAGGTTTGGCGCTCCCTATTAGAGTTCACCGCCATGTTTACTTTCCTGTCCTCGTAGCAAAAACACTTGACCTAGCCTCTTCAGAGTTGTTAGACTTCCCACTTTTGAGCTTACCAAGTGATAACAACAATGAGGATGTCTGATCAAGAATTGTTCGCAGTTTCGATTCATCCATTGTGTTCAGGTCTGCGATGTTAAATTCAATGGAAACCTTTTGTGCGGGTGCAACTGATGGATCTTGTTTGGTTGTCTCCATCACGTCTGAGTTGTTTGGCTTGTTCACGTCTGTTTCAGATGGTTTCTCTGTTTGTATCTTGATAACACTTGGACACACTGCACTTCTGTTATCCTCCTCCAGTAGATTGTTATCTGCTGATGCAGCAGGTGCATTTAGGTCAATGTCAAAATGATCTTTACTGGCTTCCTGATAGTTTTGATTCATGTTCTGCGTGCAATTTCTTTTCAACTCTTCCTCGACATTTGTAGAAACTTTGTTTTCTTCAAAGGAAGGGCGCACAAGCTTTCTTCTCTTGACTTTCCCACTTTCTTTTCCCAAATTTGCATCCACCTCCCCTGCTTTACTGCGTCTCTTGAAGTTCAAGTTGGGAAGTTGTGGCTCTATGCTTTCTTCTTCTTCCAGCTCTAGTTGACTTGGCAGGTTCAGCTCTGCATGAAAACAGTCCATAGCCTGTTCCCCGATCAACGGAATAATACCATCTGCAGTTGGTCTATTTTTGTGATTCCATTGTTCTGTCTTCTGGGAAAGAGAAGAAACCAATTGGTTCAGCGTAGGACCTGTGGCCTCTTGAGAAGTTAGTTGCTTGGTCAATGATAAGCGAGAAAATACACTTGTTTGTGGAGGGTTACACCAATTCTTTCTGTTAGTTTCAGCTCCTATAGCATGTTGTGTATGTCGTGGATTGAGAATACCATTTTCAAGATCTGATGCATCCGAAGTACTGCTACAGGTACCATGTTTCTTCATCCCATCATTTTTGAAGTCTTGATCACAATCAAGGATCTGAATGTAATCAGTAGAACTTGTTTTCTGTTGATAAATTGCTGGTACTGCTTTCCCATCACGTTCAGCTTCAGGATATGTGGGAATACCTAGTTTGCTTAGTTTTGCCTGTGGCAAAGCTTCTCCACTGAAACATCGAGGCTCACATGCATGTATGTTGTTATGCGCACCAGAGCGGTCTTGGTTGAAGCAGATGTCACAAGGAACTTGATAGTCAGAGTTACTTTGTCGATTTGACAGCGACGATTGAGGATATAACCGATCATACGGGGTAAAAGTTGAATTCAAATGATTACTGCCTTTGTAAGTTGGATTCTGATTTGCATATCCAGAAGTTAGCGAGAAATTGTGCAAATAGCCACGAGATAATGGATATGACTGATTTGCAACAAATTTAGCTCCTCTTGGCTCCTGAGCTGTACATCCAGAAGGCAAGGTATTATGTGGATAGTCTTGTGGCAACAGGTATGACTGCTTTGCAACCAGCTGCAGCCTAGAAGTTTGAGAGCAAGGGGCAGATACATGAGTTGAAACAGCATCTGTCATTGGAGCGGTTGGGAAAAGCTCACGCTGAGAATGGATGTCTACTTGGTCATGACGGCTCAGGTTGGGAGCAATTTGGGCTCCAAAAGTTTCAGTTCTCATGGGCATCAACATGTTTGGGTATGCCTCAACACTAAGCGGTGAATCTGTTTGCATGCTTGTAGGAGTAGAGTATCTTCTTGCAACTTCTGAAATGTTGGGAATTGAAAGGCGTGATTGATCATTGCAATCAGGAACATCTGGAGTCAAGCTTTCTTTGTCCAGTATCCCTTTGCTGGAGTGGTTTATTTCCAAACTCTCATTTTTTGGATAGTCATGAATAGGGCGCTCTACCCTCCTGTCATCGAACAACTCATATAGGCGAACAACCTGCGAATCAGTATAAGTTTTTATTGTCACAGCGATGCAATTAGAATGTACATTTGTAACGTTATGTAGTAAAGCTGGAGCAAAGCAAACCTGCTCGTAGGAAAGGTCAAAGTAGAACTTCCTTGGATGATAGTAGTTGTCTTCTATGGCAGGGAAAAACTCATCTTCACTTAGTGGTCTGCACTTCCAAATAATATTGATGCGAACCTATAGTGGGGAAAAAAGGTCAGCTCAAAACCAAATGAATAAAATGCTTTCTATAAAGCGGGACCAATCGGTCTTTGGTCTAAAACCAAATGAATAGTTTTATCATATAATCATCTTTATCATCAGGGCAGTTTCATCTCAGGTGTAGTGCTTGTTAGCTGATCTAATGTGCAAAAGTCACAAACATTTAAAAGCAATTCAGGTATTCCCTATTCCTATGTCGTTATGCCTACTGCCTACACAAGTGAAAACCCATTATAATTTTTATACTAAAAGAAGAAAAAAAACCCAAGGCATTTAGTCTTGAGGCTTACCTGCGCAGGATATGAGCGTTGAACCGCAGAATCGCAAATATTGAGCCCTCCATCAGAGGCAGCCTCAAAGACCCCATAAAGCTTGCGCAGAGTGTAGTCAAAGAGAAACAAAGGCATCCCTTTCCTGACATTGGTAACAAAGGATTGATACTCCAACGGCAGGCTGAAAACTTTTGCTTGAAAGCTTTGTTCCCTTGTGGATATGTTGCACATGAAGATAGCTCCTGCCATATCACCAGCAGCGCCCTGTCTAAACGACACTGCAGGGCCCTCGCGCCTCATTCCGATGAACCTTGCACACGCACACAGGTGAAATGAGTGAGGAATGGCCGTCATTCGCATATTTTTTTTTTCTAACAAACAGTAAGGTTGCAGCACAAAGTCGAAATTCTACTTTTTAACAGTAGAATGAACGATGTAAAAAATAAAAAATAAACGCGGTGGTTAACCTAGGAAACAAAATTTTGTTAGAAAAAAGGTGAATGGAAAAAGTGAGGCAAAACTAACTAATGCTACATCATCCTAGTGGACCACAACAAGTACAAAGAATACATAATTGATGCTGCTGACAGGAGCAAATATCCAATTTTCTCCACTGACAGAGCAGATTAGTAACAACAATGGCGGTCCAACCCGAGTCTGAAGAAATCGGGCGAAGTGGTTCGACTAAACTAAAATACTCCTATTTGCAACGGAGAGCAACTAAATCTGCAATCAGCGAACCGCGCAGCGAAGGCAAGGACAATGAATTATATCAATCAATAAAAAAAAGGTCAGCGCAATGGTTGTGGCAGGGAGCACGGCGGTGAAACCGGGATCAGAAATAGCTAGCACGCTGCACACAATACAAGAGGCGGCACGGTCGCACGGATGATCCGAAGTTCCGAAGCGCAAGTAGGTATAGGGAGGGGAGGGGTTCGCACTCGTGATGGGAAAACCGCGCGTGCGGTGGGTGGCGGCGTTGGCGACGAACCCGGATGACCGGGGAGGACGACGACGAGAGCGGCAGGCCCGGGTGGGTCGACTCGTGGCGAGACGAGAGAGCGCGGCCGCCCCGCCGCTCCGCTGCAGATGGATTTCTGTTTGCGGCTGGACCTGGAGGGTACGTACGTGCTAGGATTTGTTGAGGGAAAGCCAAGGGCGGCGGACGGCGATGGATTTATGTTGCTTTCGAAAGATGGGGTTGATAGACGGATTTGCTGCAGGGATTTCGTTTCGGTTCCTGCGCTGCGCCTCGGCGCTTCTTCGGCTGACGGCGGGACCCTGGGATTTGTTTTATTTTTTGCTCACTGATTAATTATTGTTTTTGGATAATGGAATCCGATTCATTTTCCTCCTCGGAAAAACTTTTTGGAAAAACAAAGTTGTGTCACCGTGGGTCCTTTGGACCCGATGCCGAGGTAACAATTTGAATGAACCAAAAAAAAAAACATACGGTCTTTAAATCTGTTTGGTTGCGTTATTCTAGTTTTGTGATTGACATGCAAATCACAAATCGCACATTTAGGTACATATACTTAGTCTATTGGACGTCAATGCGTAGCCTTTTGTTGATGTGGCTAAGGCTACACATGCCGCCGTGGTGAGTAGTGGTGTATTTTGCAGAAAGACCTTCGATGGTTGGTGGACTCTCATTTCTTCCCTCTCCCTCGCACGTCTCTTCGGTTTCCTTGGCAACACAGACAAAGCCGATGGAACGAGGAGTAGTGGTGATGGGTTGGTGGCGAATGGAGGTCGGTGCAGCGAAGAAAGTCGAGCACAGGACAAAGCCAAACCATGCTAGAGCAGTCCGTCACTGTTTAGTGGAAGAATGACGACGAGATTGCAAGGGAAAGCGAAGGCAGCGCCCATATATCCGGAGTTTCTCGTTTCCTTCACTTGCTGATTCTAGGTCTATAGATAGTAAAATCGTAGATATATTGGTAAAGTTAGGTATAAAGACTTGAATACTCATTATGATGGATAGAAAATGTATTTGAAAATGGGATTTAGCTAGCGGCTCTTGTTGTCCCACCAAATAGTCACGGGACAAAACCATGGCAAAAGAGAATAGTGCGACAGGAGCATCCACGTTAGATCTGTGGTGCTAACTTGGCAGCCTTGTCGTACCAATGCATATGGCACGATAATGTGATTTAGTTATGTTATGTGGGATTGTGCAAACGAATGGCTTAGATATGAAATTAACTTTATTTTGGGTAGATTATTTTTAAAACAATGATTACATCTAGGTTAAAAATCCTGTTGGATCATCGCATTTTCACTGTGCATGCGTGTTCACCGAAAATCCCCGGTGGTCAATGGAGAAGGACTACTAGAGGAAAGTTTGATGGGCGACAACGACTGTTTTCAAGGCGCAGACCTATTCTTCCGGTGCCTCCGGAGAAAAGGCTCGCCATGTGGCAAAAATATGTGTGCGCAGGCGTTTTTCAAAAGGGGTCATCAGAAGCTTCCTTTGGGGGTCACCGGAGCTTTCTAAGGGCCTAAAAAACTTCTGCAAAACTCTCGAGTGCACCGGAGTGTTCGCCGGAGTTGAACTCCAAAGAGGGGTTTTCCAGTGGAAAAACTGCGAGGCCATAAAAAAAACTCTGGTGCTCAGTGGAGAAGGGCCGTCGGAGACAAGGTCATGTAATTGCTAGTTTAATTTAGCCATCGGAGCCTTCAGTGCAAAGCTCTGGTCACACCACCAGGCCTTTTCGGTGAGTATGCATATTGCTGCATTAGTTGATATAATAGCTAGTTTCTCTTGAGGGCTTATAAATAGAAGATGTGATTGGGCTTTTTAGCTCTCTTGCACTCCCATCAGATACACATACCAACTAGAGCTCAAGATAACACTTGACTCGCATTTGCTTAGTTGGCATTGCATTTGAGTGAGATTGGAGAGGATCTAGTGCATTTCCATTGAGAGTTTATATCTAGTGGCAATAGTTCATCATTCGAGCTCCCAGGATTCTTATTACTCTAGGTAGTTGTGTCACCTAGACGCTCGGAGGCAGCATCCATAGAGCACCGTGTGGAGATTATGTAGGGGGGCTATAGAGAAGGATTGTAAAGGGCTCTTGTGCTCATTCCCCGCTAACAAAGGGATGGAGTGAGCAGAGGAGACGGGCAGCGCCCTGGACCCCACCTTCATATATTGCGGCAAGCACGGCCTCCGGTGGCACGCTCGAGTGGTAGTGAGGACAAGCGACGAAGGCAAGGAGTGTGGGGGCAGTGGTGCTAGGCTCCGCTCGTGTCACCCTGTGAGGAGCGATGCTTTATGCCTTATTTGCAATGGTTTGATTTGAGGGATGCATAAGAAAGGGATCACCTACTCTCAAAAAGGATGGTATTTGCTACTTCTGCAATTTTTTTCTTCTACTTTTCTAGTCATTAACAAAAGCCATGTTCTGATTGATCTAGACTTCAATAATTATATCTTCCCTCGGAACCAGAGGCATTTGTCCATATATATAGTCTAAATTGCATGAAGATGCTTTGCGTTCTAAATATCATGCTTATGTTTGCGCTTTACAGATGTACTAGTGCACTACTTAGAAAGCGGAAATGCTATGCTTAGGGCATCCGCCCCAGCCAGAATTAGATGGCTTGCCCACCGTCAAAACGCATGCCCGTACGAATAAAAATCCCGCACCATTCTTGTCTGCACGCCGCTTCCTTCCTATAGATCCAACACAGTCTTATCCCCTCCTTGCTCTTGTTTAAAAAACACAACATTATCCTCTCCTCTGCTGCTTCTCCTCCCATCAATGCCAGCGCCTAAGCGACGAGATTGGTGACGGACGTTGCCTGTAGCACGGAGGCAAAGGGACTGTGCGACATCTCCTTTATTCAACGGTGGGGGGGGGGCTCGAGCCCCCCCTACCGATACCGGAGCCCTGGAGCCCCTATAAATTTTTAGGCAAAGTTCTATCGTGTAGGTGGGGCTGAGACTTAAGATCGAGCAGCAGTCGAAGGTATGTTGCTGTCGCACTTTTGTTCAGCCCCCCTAAAATTTTTCCTGGATCCGCCGTTGCCTGAATCCGTGCAGCCGCTCGTCGGGGCCGCGCAGCCGCCTGCCCGCTTGCATCCCCCAGTGGCACTCCATGGCATCGAGCTCTGCGCTGGCGTCGAGCTCCGTGTCAACGAGCCTCCATTCGTCCAAGCAGCAAGTAGATGCTATGCTAAAAGTATATTTTGCAAGCCTATGTTTCAAGTATTTTAGATGTTTCATAGGTATGTTAAAGTGTTTCATATGGATGTTGCAAAAGTAGATCGAGATGTTGCATATGTTGCAATGGTTGTTGTTGGTATTTATTAACTTGTCACTTGTTTTAGTAGTCACCTATTAATTACCTACATCTCCTAACATTACTTTACTAGGTTTTCATCCCTAGTGATGGTGCCAGAGATGCTTGTTGGTACTGCCTAGCATCACTGCTAGAATGATACTATCGGTGTAGAAAGTGACCAACACGTAAATATTTATAGTTTTGCCGTACGTTGTGATCGAAGGTGGCCTAGCACTCAATGACACAGGGTTTATACTGGTTCAGGCAACGTGCCCTTCGTCCAATTTGAGTCGGTCGGTGACTTTATTCCTGAGCCCAGGTGCTTGAAGTTTGCAGTGGGGTTACAAACGAGAAGGAGAAAGATGGGGGTACAAGAGATCCGGTCGGACTCTGGTCAGAGGGGCCGAGAGTGACGGGAGCTTCTCTATGTGCTATCTGTTCGAGTGTGTGCTCGATGTTTGAACCTGGTGGTTCTATTGTTGTGTACTAGTGAATTTGATCGATCTGAATGAACTATCTTTTGGGAGAGAGCACATCCCCTTTTATAGATGAAGGGGATGGCCTTACAAGTGAGAGGGAGAGTACGTATGCTGCTAAGTCTTGCTGCCCACGCGCGGCGGGTACAAGATGATGGTAGGCACCCACAATACTGTTTAATGTCAGATGCACGTGGGAGGTTGCGTCGTCTTCTTCAGGTATGGCAGATGTCGGTGCCTGCCATACTGTTGATACCCAGAGGCATGTAAGGGGTTTTACCATGTTCGCCTAATACGGTAAATGCCATCGCCCACAACACTGTCGACGCCTTAGAGGCACGTGGGGGAGCCTTACCATATTTGTCTGGTATGGGAGTTGATGGCGCCCACAACACTGTAGGGGAAAATGTCGGCGCCTACAACACTGCTTGGGTTCTATCATGTTATGGAGGTCGCAGGGTACTGTCCTGTAGGCGTACAAGGTACGTTCCTCGGTATTGCGGTTGACTTGAGTGCGCTGCCTTACTTTCGT